AGTCTTTCTGCAGGAGATTTACAGCATCAGAAGAGAGAGAGCTAGGCGGTTACACTGCAGTGCGGTTGGTCATCGCAAGACCCGCTCGCAGGGCGAGGCGGGGTAGGCCACGCCCCACGTGCTGCCCCTGAAGCGCGCCGCGCTGTCTGAGCCTGCGCGTCCTGGTCTGTCGGCCCCTAACTCCAAGGCGTTGCCATGGTAACCACAGTAAACGGAAGTCTGGGCAAAAGCTGAGCGTGGGCACGGTCTGGTGGCTGCTGGCGTCTTAGGGTAAGTAAATTTGCTCCCCAAAATCTATTAGCGAGTCATAGAGCACTGAGCCCCACTTGAACCTTGAACTTTGAACTTTGTTCTTCAGGCTTTGTTTATGAAAACACATTTCTTAGTCTTCCTTAGTTTCGCTACTTTAGGATTGGAAGTCCGTTTGAGGGTTGTGTTAAATCTCATTTCATTAGATTCAGCTCGTTAGTCCACGTTAAACATCTGGAGTAAGACGCATTGGCAGCATTGGAGCTAGACACAAAGTGGACAGAGTTCCTGCAAAGAGCTCACTAGCCAGAGACACAACAGGAGACGAGATAAACCGAGCTAAATCAGGAGCAGGGAGAATGGTGTCAAGCAAAGGACCTCACTCCCCCACCAGTACCCCCACTTCCAGCTATGTTGGCACTTGGCAAGTGCCCTCATCCCTCTACGGACTTTGCGCTTAGAGCTTTTTGAACTCATTGCTGTAAAAACGGACACATAGCTGATCAACCACTGTTTTGTCGGGGCTGGAAACCACAAAAGAAGAAATTTCTCGTCTTTGTAGAGTCCCCTGGTGGGTAGGTTTGAACTCTCAGATATGCGTGACCTCTGAATTAGCAACTCAGTCCCAACACAGGCTAAGCCACCAGAGTCCCTCCTCTCTAAAAAGGAAGATGGTGCAGCTTACTTACCTCAAGTTAAAGTTAAATCATCGAATGCTGGTAACGTTGTTGCTAGTTAAGTTGTGGCTGACATTGAGAAGGGGAATCCCAGAGCACTTGATTGCGCTCATGTGAACCTGGACCTGGACCAGGAGGCTGTTGTGCTAACAGAGCAGGGGAACACTGCATGGTTTAAACTTGAGAAGGGAGTGAATCAGGGTTGTGTTATCTCTTCATAACTGTTCAGCTTGTATCCTGAGCAGATGATCCGAGAAACTGGACTCTATGAAGAGGAGTGTGGCATCAGGATTGGAGGGACACTAGTCAGTAATCTGCAGTTATGCAGTTAGCAAAACCTTGCTTGCTAAATGTGAGAAGGACTTGAAACACTTGTTGCAGAAGATCAAGGAATGCAGCCTTCAGTATGGACTGTATCTCAATGTTAAGATAGCAAAGATTCCTAACAGTGGACCAACAGGCAGTGTCATGATGCATGGAGAGGAGACTGAAGCTGTCAACAGCTTCATCTTACTTGGATCCACAATTAACACCTTTGGTACCAGCACTCAGGAAAAAAAGGAGAGGCATTTCACTGGGAAAATTTGCAGTTAGGGACCTCTCCAAATTATTGAGAAATAATGATAACCTTTTGAAGACTTAGGTGTGTCGGATTCAGGCCATGGTCTTCCAGTTTCCTTGCTGTGCATCTGAGACCTGTACGATGAATAAGGATGACAGAAAAAGAATTGACACCTTTGAGCTGTGATGTTGAGTGCTGAACATCCCGTGGATGGCCACAGAAGAAAGATGTGGCAGTCAGTTTCCATAAAGTTTACAGGCGTGGAAACTCTGTAGGACAGTTCTACTCTGTCTAAAGAGTCAATATGAGTTTAAGTCAACTCACTGGCAACAGATAGAACAACCTTAGTATCAGGACTGCGGAGCTGCTTTCCCTCCCTTTCCCATAATAGCCACTGACATGATCCAACCACAGGAAGCAGCAGCTGTGACTCTATTTCTCTATATTAAGGATGTGAAACTTCTACCTCCATTTCCCAGGAATAGTTATCTGAGACCCCAACCCACTGCCCTATCTTGTGAAAAACAACTGTGAACATCCTCTTCCCCAAATTTCTTTGTAAGACAATATAAAACCCCTCTCTAGCTTTAAGTGGGGGCTGCTCTCTACTTTGGAGCCATCCAGGCAGTTTCTCCTCAATAACTTACTTGGCCTGAACTGGATTCTGTTCTTCCTCAGGGACCTTATTCTTAGGTGTTTTGGGTTTTGATTTGGATATTATTATTATTATTATTATTATTATTATTATTTCAGTCTCATAGTGAGTGAGTTGATGTAAAGTTAAATTAGTTCTCTGGCAAACTGGGGTTCAAACCTGATCTGACTTTAAATAGGACACTTACTCTGTTCTCCCTTCCAGCTATAATATAGAGGAAGGATAAGGAGGCTTGGGATGCTTAGTGCACGGTGCAGACTTAGAAGGAATTACATTGTAGGTATGTTCATAGGGTCACTATGAGTTGCACTAGCCTCAATGACATCTACAACAACTTTCAAATGCCCCCACACTGCAGTGTAGATAGCAGAAAGAACCGGTTGTGCTACACTCTTCCTAAAGTCCTTCAGTGGTTCTTGGTTGCCATAGAAATAAGGTGTAAACTTCTCAACCAAGTTTAGAAGTAATCATGTGATCTGAGATTTGCCTTTTTTTTAAAAAAAAATTCTTATAACTCTTGACTCTTCAAAGACCCACCATCTCTCTGAAGTTCCCTGGGTCTCAGGCATCTTTTCTCTGATTCTTGTTGTTGTTGTTGTTAGGTGCCATCAAGTCAACCACAACTGACAGCACCCCTATAAACAACAGATCTGAACCTTGCCCCGTCCTGTGTCTTCCTATGATCTCTGACAGGCTTGAGCCAATTGTTATGGTAACTGTGTCTTTTTCTCTTTCCATGTCCCTCTTTCCCTGTATGCCTTTTTCCAGGGATTGGCACCTTATGACCCCATGCTCAAAGTGTATGAAGTGAACACACACCATCTTAGCCACTAAGGAGCACCTCTCCAAGACAGATTTGTTTGTTCTTTTGGCAGCTTGTGATATATTCAATACTATTCACTGACACCATAATCCAAAGACATTGATTCTTCTTCAGTCTTCCTTATTTATTGCCCAACTTTCGATGCATTTAAAGGAGCGGAAAATGGAATGTTGTTGTTATGTACTGTAGAGTGGAGCTGTCTCCACTCAAAGTTGACCCTACAGTGGGTTTTCAGAGGCTGTAAATTGCATGGGAGGAGATTGCCCATTTTTCTCCTCTGGAGCAGCTGGTGGATTTTAACCACTTTTCTTTGAGTTGGCTGTGCAACTCATAAGGTACCAGAGCTGCCAAACTACCAGAACTCCCTAATTGAAAATCATGTTGCTGTTATATGCAGTCAAGTGGACTATGACTCAGAGCAACTCTATGAAAAATAAATCTGAACTGTGTGATTATCATCTCTGATACACTTGAGTCTATTGTTACAGTCACTGTGTCAATTAATCTTGTTGAGAGTCTTTCTTTCATTGACCTTCCATTTTTCTAAGCATGATGGTTTTTTCTAAAGACCAGTCCCTCGTAACATCGTGCCTAAAGTTGTGAGCTGAAGCTTCACTGTCCTTGTCTCTAAGGAGTACCCTGGCTGCACTTTCTCCAAGACAGGCTTGTTTGTTCATCTGATATTCCATTTAGTACTCTTCTCCAACCCACTATTCAAAGACACTGATGATTCTTCTGTTATCTTTAGTCCTTGTCTAACTTTCAGATGTATAAAAACTTATTGAAAAGACTTGAGTCAGATGCATCTTAAGCTGACATCATTGCTTTATACCATTACCTTGGAGATTTCCTTGACAGCAAACTAATGTAATGCAGTATGTCTTCTGATTTCATAACTATTGGGTGTTGATTGTGGATCCACGCAAGCTGAAATTATGAACAATCTTTTCTCCATTTATCATGATATTGCCCATTGGCCCATTGGTGAGAATTCCGTCTTGATGTTGAGATGTAATCCATATTGAAGATTATAGTCTTTGATCTTCTGCAGCAGTTGTTTCCAGTCCTCTTTGGGCAAGTAAGGTTGTGTTTTCTGCATAAAGCAGGTTGCTTGTGAATCTTCTTAAGTCCAGTATCTTGAAATTTTTACTGGGCAGATTGAAAAAAACATAAAGAAGGAATACAACCCTGCCACACGCTTTTCTTGATTTTAAACCACCCAGTGTTCTGTTTAGATGACAGCTTCTTGGTCCAAGTTTCATATGAGCACAAAAATGTTCTGGAATTCCCATTATTCTCAATGTCAGCCATAATTTGTTATGGTCCACACAGTCAAATGCTTTTTAATAGTCAGTGAAACACAGACATCCTTTTGATATTCTGTGTTTTCAACTAAGATTCAACTGACATCAGCGTGATATAGCTGGTGTCACAGTTTCTTCTAAATCAGATTTGAAATTATTGCAGTTCTTTGTCAATGTAATGTTCCTGCCATATTTTTATAATCTTCAGTAAGATTTTACCTGCATGTAATGTTAGTGATAATGTTTAATAATGTCCACATTCTGTTGCATACCTTTTCTGAGGGGAATGGGAGCAAATATAGATCTCTTCTAGTCAGTTGGCCACGTAGCTGTCTTCCAAATAGCAAGGCTACTACTTAATTTTAGTAGTCAGATAATTTGGAGCAGGTTCAGATATAGGTGGTATTTTACTGTTGTTGCTGGACACTGTTGAATCAGCTTATTCAGAGCAACCCTATGATAACAGATCAAACCTTGCTCGATCCTGCGTACGTAGTCCCCCAGGGGGAAGGAAATCCTGGGGCTTCCAGCAGATTCAGGAAATCAGTTTTCTATTTCAGGGATGGTGGCAGAAGCATCCTCCTCATGGTGAAATAATCTCAGGTCCTGTGCAAATTTGGGGTTATCAACAGTGCTTAATTGTCGGGGAATTTGCTAAGGGGAGATAGCCGTTTAGTATGTATGTTTTATACCATTATCTCTTTGTCTCTGTTTTGCCCTTTTAAAGAAGATGAAGGAACCAGAGGATCCAGATCCATATGATGATAAGTCAGATGTATCAAAATATGAAAGACTATCTCAGAGGTCTTCTAGATCTGGATCAAGAAGTAAGTAAACATGGCAATAGACACTTGTGTTTATTACTATTAAATGTCAGTAAAATACATTTTAAAGAGTGACTATCTAAACTTAAAGAACATAGTTGGGTTACTTGTTTAATTTCTCACCTAGTTCTAATTTCCTTAACAGCAGAATCAATATTTTCATTTTATATGTCTCCTGAGATGCAGACATTACTATCGTTTTTATATTTGTAGTAACCCATTTGTATCTCATCTTCACGTCTCATGTGAGGTTTATCATATCTTAAATGAATATTTGTTATACAGTGTTATTGGTGTTAGATGCTATTGAGTCTACTGCTGTTGTTGTTGTTAGGTGCCATCGAGTCACATATGACTCGTAGAAACCCTATGAACAAAAGATCTGAACCCTGTCCTGTCCTGTGCCATCCTCACACTTCCTGATACACAAGAGCCCATTGCAGCAGTTACCTTGTCAATCCACCTGGTTGAGGTCTTCCTTTCCTTCACTGACCCTCCACCCCTCACAGCACCATGTTCTTCTCCAAGGGATTGTTGTGGTTGTTGTTGATTGCTGTTGAGTCAAGAATGACTCAGAACGACCCTATAAACAAAAGGTCTGAAGCCTTTCTATAACTATCATCTTTTATCAAAGTTCATAGAGTTTCCAGAGGCATGTTGTTTAGGAAGTGGATGCCATGTTTTTTTCTCTTGGTTATCCATGGGGTATTCAGTGCTCTTCTTCAACACTACAGCTCAAAGGTGTCTGTTCTTTTTCTGTCATCCTTATTCATTGTGCAGCTCTCAGGTGCATAGCAAGTAATCAGAAAGACTATAGCCTGAATCAGATGCACCTTAGTCCTTTAACGGACATCACTGCTCCTAAATAATTTGGAGAGGTCCCTAACTGTAGATATTTTCAGAGCAGTTCATCTCCTTATTTCCTGAATGCTGGTACCCATGGTGTTAATTGTGGATACAAGCAAGATAAAGCTGTTGACAGTTTCAATCCATTCATCATGACCCTGCCTGTCAGTCCAGTGGTAAGAATCTTTGTTATTTTGACAAGTGTTTCAAGTCCTCCTCACATTCAGCAAGCAAGGTTGTATCATCTGCATAACACAGGTTATTGATGTTCCTTCCTAATCCTGACACCACACTCCTCTTCATAGAGTCCCACTTCTTGGATAATTTGCTCAGCATAAAGATTGAATAGGTAAGGAGAGAGAATACAACCCTGACACACTCCCTTCTCAATTTTAAACCATGCTCTGTTCACGCAACAGCCCCCTGGTCCAGGTCCAGGTTCCACATGAGCACAATTAAGTGCTCATTCCCATTCTTCTCAATGTCAGCCATAACTTGTTATGATCCACACAGTCAAATGCCTTTGCATAGTCAATAAAGCACAAATAGACATTCTCCTGGTATTCCTTACTTTCAGCCAGGATCCATCTGTCATCTGCAATGATATTTCTGGTGCCATGTCTCTTCTAAATCCTGCTTGAACTTCTGGCAGTTCCCTATCTATACACTGTTCCAGCCGTTTTTGATTCTCCAGCTTGGAGTAGTTGGGTTCTGGATCAAGTCTGTTACTACTCATATTAAGCCTGTGAGCAACAGATCTGAACCTTGTCCTATGCTGCCCTATCTTTCTGGTATTCTCTCAGCCAACGTTCATGTAACATGAGCAGTGATAGATTCCTTGTGCCACAACCTCTCCTGAATCCAGCTTAAATTTCTGGCTGTTTCTTGTTGATGTTCTGATCTAGCAGTTTAAAAATAATCCTTAGGAAAATTTTACTTGCAAGTGATATTGCTTATATTGTTTGATAATGTTCACAATCTTTAGAATAACTTTTTTTTAAATTGGAGCAAATATAGATCTCTCCCAGTCAGTTTTAATCGTGCAACTGTCTTTTGAATTTGTGGGCATAGAGTGGTGAGCACATCCAGGGTACCATCTGTTTCCTGAAATACTTCAGTTGGTATTCCGTCAATTCCTGCTGCCTTGTTTTTCGCAATGCCTTCAGTGCAGCTTGGATTTCTTACTATTTGTTCTTGATTATATGCTATTTCCTGAAATGGTTCCATGTCACCCAATTCTTTTAGGAACAATGACTCTGCATTCCTTGCATCTTCTTTTTCTGATTCCTGTATCATTCAATATGTTCCCATAGAATCCTTCAGTATCACAATCCTGAAAGATTCAGTATTACAACTTAAAGCTTGATTTTTCCTTCAGTTAGGTCTTTCAACTTGAGAAATACCTAATGTATTCTTCCCTTTTGGTCTTTAAGTCCAACTCTTCGCATATTTCATTATAATATTTTGCTTTATCTTCTTGAGCTGCTATTCTCTTCAGATTTCTTATTTCAGGATTCTTTTTCCCTTGTTTTTGCTTCATTTCATACTAGTGCAAGCATTAGAGTCTCATCTGACATTCATTTTGTTCTTTTTTTCTCTCCTTGTCTTTTTATTGACTTTTTTATTTTTATTTTTTTGATGATGGAAAGGTCTGAATTTACTTTGATCCTTGATTTTCTCACTCATTCCTGTAATCATTGTAGGTAGTTTGGGAATTAAAATGGAACTTTTTTTTGTGGCAGGATTTCAAATAGAAGGGAAAAGTAAGGAATTTTACAATTAGAATTTTTGAAGGGTAGCTGGCATCAGGGTATTGAGTGTCTTGCTGAAATTTTGACTCTTCAGGATCTAATCTTAAATATAAGCTTCAGAAAATTCGTCTTGACCAGAGGAGAAGAGGTCCTGGGAATATCCATTTAGTAACACAATTGACATAAAAACCTTACCACCTGAGAGATGTTTCATAAATCAGTATTTCTCTAGAATATATTTTCCATTAGGCATTTCTCTTCTCCTGCGTGGACTCTTGCAGCAGGGATTTCCACTCACATTTTTCAATCTAGTCCTTGTTCCATGCTGTTACTAGATTTAGCTTTCCAAAAAAGACACATGCACATCATTTTACTACTCACCTACTTTTGTTTGTTCCTTCCTTGTTTTTTCTTTTTTACATAAAGGCAAAGTTGGTGAAACTTGATCTTGTACATTTTGTGCATGTTGTCAAGAAGATAAGTCCTTGGAAAAAGACTTCATCATGGGAAAGGTAGAGGGTCAGAGAAAGAGAAGAAGACCCTCAACAAGATGGGCTGACAAAGTGACATTAACAGTGGGCTCAAGCATGTCAGAGATGATAAGATTGGTGCACGGTAGGACAAGGTTCAGATCTGTTGTTCATAGGATCACCATGAGTTGTATTTGACTCAACAGCACTTAAAAAGAATAACAACATGAATACTTCCTACATTTCAGCATCGTATATGTTGAGGTTTTCACACATTGGATACCATTCCACAGCTACTATTCTCAACTTTCCATGGATGAATTTGATGATAATGAATGATAATGTTAGGTGCCATTGAGTCCACTACCACTCATAGTGACCTTAATAATGAGACTGGATGACTAGTTCTCAGGGAACTCTGGTGTCTTTGTGGTAAGTAATTGTGCTGTCAACTGAAAGACACATCGTTCAAATCCACTAGCTGTTCTGTTTGAGAAAGAAGGGCCATTTTCTCTCAGGTGATTTACTGCCTTTGAAAACCCACTGGAGAGTCAACTATGGTGTCAGTTCTGACTCGACGGTACATAACCACAGCAACAAGACTAGTTCTCTATCCTGTTCCATCATATACTTGATAACTCTTTCTCAATGTGTGTATTTGTTTCTTACTTTCAGTGTTGATTTCAGGTTATTTCCAAGAATAAACAGACAAATGCCTATTTATTCTTCAAACCATAAGCCTTCTTCCGGTAACTTTTCTAATTCTAAAAATCCCAGTAGCTACCGGCTGCTTAGCTCTGGTACCTTACCACCTTCAGTTCTGTAGATACTTCTTCACCGTATTAGTATTTTTCATATTAATTTTTTATCCTATCTCCTTTTTCTCTCAGTTTTGCAAACTTTCTAACAGGCTCACAATAGCCATTCTTTTTTGTTATCTAGTCTTGATCTTCATTCATTCCTCATTCTTTTTTCAGGGACTTCTGCAGCCTAGACCTTTGCACCAACAGCCCTAAGATCTCATTTCAGCTGCTGGAATTCTTTCCCAGAGGAAGATCAGTGGAGATATTCTAATCTCCAAATGTGGAAAGTTTTTGATTGCCACAGTTTAAGAAAGAGCTAGAGTCTCTCTTAAAAGATATTATTGAAAAATAGTTTCCAATGGAGGCAAGTGTCCCCAACCACAGCAGAGATTGAAAATGAGGATCCAGCCGTGTTTTCTTCTGTTGAATGAGGAGTTACAGTAAATTAGAGCTGACCTGATGGCACCGAGCAGCATTTTCCCAGATCTGTTCTTAAGGAAAATCAAGTTTCAAGTTTAGGCTGTTTAAATATCTGTCGTTATTGTCTTTCTATCCAAACACATGAATCCTGCAGAACTCTTCCTTATCATTTGGCGAATTGGCTTGACTACTCTTTCCTGCCTCATTCATATTAGTCTTGGCCTTGTTTCTAATCATTTTGCCTCATTTAAGATCGTACATGTCTTTGACTCTGCTCTGCCTTGGTATAATTAAAATTTCTTCCTTCCTGCCAATCAGCAAATGAATGGATAGAGAAGCTCTGGTATATTCACACAATGGAATGCTGTGCTGCTTTGAAAAACAAAAACTCGTGGAATATTACTCAAAATGGGCGACCCTGCAGGATTTCATGCTGAGTGAAATATCTTAGTCACAAAAGGACAACACTGCATAGTTCCACTGCTATAAAATGGGATTGATATTGGGGTTGGAGGGAGACTGAGAAAGATGGGATAAATTATGTATACTACATTGAAACAGATGAGGGAGAGAACTGTTTAAAAGGGATATATGATTAGGTATTGTCATGACAAGGAGTCCAGGTGGACTTGAGAGGAGGGGTTGTTTAACAATGAAAGAATTTTCCTTTTGCTTTTCAAAGAGAAGAGTGAAATGGGGGCAGAGGAGCGGGCAGGGAGAAAAGTACAACAATGAATGAGTGGAAATCCAAAATCTCTGTAAACTTTCATTAAAATTATTAATAATAAAAAATTCTTCCTTCCTTCCTTTCTGAAAGTCCCTTCATTCTTGTCTTTCATCTGTTTAGCATTGTATATTTTAACAATACCTGTGTTTGAACTTGATCTGAATGTTGGCTTATATCTAGGGCAATTCTCATTCCAATTTTCTTTCTTTCATAGCTTATTGTAAAGCCACCATTCTAACTTATGCTTGGGGTATATATTTGGAGAGAAATAATCATACTCTGAAAAAGATATTCTTAATTGTTACTTTGGTGATCCTCTATAAGTGTTGGCAGAATTGAACTGAGTAGACATAATGATAACAGAATACTAGGTTCTTTTTTGCTTTTACTGTCTTGTAAATCTGAGATGATTAGATGTTGTCATTCATAGGTGCCATGAAGTCAAGTACTACCCATAGTGACCCTATGAACAACAGATCGGAATCCTGTTCTATGCTGCATCATCCTCACACTTCCTGGCACACTCTAGCCCATTGCCATAATCACTGTGTCAATCCACATGGTTGGGGTATTCCTCTCCTTCACTGACCCTCTGTCTTTCCAAGCATGATGTCCTTCTTCAAGGAATAGCCTCTCCTAGAAACATTGCTGAAATATGTGAGATGAAGCCTTATCATCTCTGCCTCCAAGGAGCAATCTGGCTGCACTTTCTCTAAGACATATTTGGTTTTTCTGCAGTCTGTGAGATGGTCAGTACCCTTCTCCAATGCTCAAAGCCATCGGTTCTTTTTCTGTCATTCTTATTCATTGTACAGCACTCAGATGCATGGCAAATGATCAGAAAGACCATGGAATCAGAAACACCTCATTCCTCAAACTGACATCATTGCTCCTCAATAATTTGGAGAGATCCCTGAGTGCAGACTTTCTCAGTGCAGTACATCTTCTGATATCCTGACAGCTGGTACCAAGGAATTGTGGATCCAACTAAGATGAAGTTATTGACAAGTTCACTCTTTTCTCCATCTATCATGATGTTGCCTATTGGTCCAGTGGTAAAAATCTTCTTTTTTCCTGACATTGGGATGCAATCCATATTGAAGGCTGTATTTTTCGTTTTATCTTTTGCAGCAAGTGCTTCAAGTCTTCCTCACTTTCAGCAGGCAAAGCTGTGTCATATGCATAACATAGGCTATGGATGAATCTTGTCCTGATCTTGATACCACATTCTTCTTCATAGAGTCCAAGTGCTCTAATAATGTGCTCAGCAAACAGATTGAATAGGTATAAAGACAGAATACAATCCTGATATACTCCCTATTTAATTTTAAACCATGTAGTGTTCCCTTTCTCTGTTCACACAACAGTCTCTTGTTCTAGGTATAGGTTTTGCATGAGCACGGTTAATAAGTGTCTGAGATTCCCATTCTTCTCAATATTAGCCATCACTTATTATTATCCATATGATCCAGTTAAATGCCTTTGCATACTCAAGAAAGCATAAATAGACATTCTTCGGGTATTCTCTACTTTTAGCAGGATCCATCCGATATCAGTAGTGATATTCTTGGTGCCACAGCCTCTTCTAAATCCTGCTTGAACGTCTCTCCATTCCCTGTCTACGTACTGTTCTAGCTGTTTTTGAATGACGTTCAGCAATATTTTGCTTGCATGTGGTATTAATGGTAATAATTGATAGTTTCCACATTCAGTTGGATCACCTTTCTTGGGAATGGGAACAAATAAGGACCTCTTCCAGTCCATTGTCCAGACAGCTGTCCTCCACATTTCCTGGCATAGACTTGTGAGCACATTCAGTGTGATATGATTACATCAGACAGAAGAGAAAGTGAAAATGAGATTAACTCACAGAATACATCCCCCTGCCCCCATCAAGACTGACCAAATACCAATACTTCTTCTAGGCATTTTTAAGTATTATTAACAATTACTACATTTAGAGCACATTTGAAGCATTAGCTGCTTTGGAAGTAATAAACTGTTGTGTTAGACATTTAGACGTTGTTGTTATGTGCCATCGAGTTGTTTGTGACACACAGCGATCCTATGTACAACAGCCCTAAACTCTGCTCTATCTTGTGCCAGTCGCACTGCTTCTGACACACCAATCCCGATTACCCCAGTCACTGAATCAGTCCACCTCCTAGAGGGTCTTGCCCTCCTGTGCTGTCCCTCCACCCTCCCAAGCATGATGTCCCTCTCCAAGGACCTGTCCCTCCTTACAACATGTCCAAAGTATGTCAGATGAAGCCCCAGAATCCTTGCCTCCAAGGAGTAGCCTGGTTTAACCCTCTCCAGGATGAATCTGTTTGTTTTCTTGGCAGTTGATGTTATATATTTAATACTGTTCTCCAGCACCACAACTCAAAGGCATCAATTCTCTTTCTGTCCTCCCTACTCCAACTCTCTGATGCGTAACAATTGATTGCAAAGACCCTGGCCTGTATCAGATGCACCTTAGTCTCCAGAGAGACACCGTTGCTCTTGAGTACTTTAGAGAGGTCCCTAACAGCAGACTTTCCCATCGCAATACGTTTTTGATTTCTGGCTTCTGGTGCCAAGAGTGTTGACCGTGGAGCTGAGCAAACTGAAGCTGTGAACAATCTCAATCTCTTCACCATCCATCCTGATGCTACGAATTGGTCCAGTGGTGAGAATCTTTGTCTTCTTGACATTGAGCCTCAGTTCATACTGAAGGCTGCAGTCCTTGACACTCTGCAGCAAGTGCATCAGGTCTTCCTCAGTTTCAACAAGCAGGGTTGTGTCATCTGCATAACGCAGATTGTTAATAGATCTTCCACCAATCCTGATGCCACACTTCTCCCCATAGAGCCCAGTCTCTCAGATAATCTGCTCTGCATACAGGTTGAAAAGGTATGGAGATAGGACACATCCCCAGTGTACACCTTTCCCAGTTTTGAACTATGCAGTGTTTCCTTACTCTGTTCTGACGACTGCCTCTTGGTCCAAGTTTAGGTTTCGCATTAGCACGATTAAATGTTCTGGGATTCCCATTCTTCTCAGAGTCAGCCAGAGTTTGTTATGATCCACACAGTCAAACGCCTTTGCATAATCAATGAAACACAGATATACATTCTTCTGGTATTCCCTGCTTTCAGCTAAGCTCCATCTAATATCAGCTACAATATCCCTAGTACCACGACCCCTTCTAAACCCAGCCTCGACTTCTGGCAGTTCTCTGCTGATGTGCTGTTCCAGTCATTTTTGTATAATCTTCAGTAGAATCTTGCTTGCATGTGAAATCAATGATATTGTTCTATAGTTTCCACACTCTGTTGGGTCACCCTTCTTTGGAATGGGAACAAATATAGTCAGTTGGCCAAATGGTTGTTCTCCAGATTTCTTGGCACAACTTGGTGAGCACATCCAGGTCAGCATCTCTTAGCTGAAATACGTCAATTGGTATACCGTCTATTCCTGGGGCCTTATTTTTTGCTATTTCCTTTAAAGCAGCTTGAACTTCTTCCTTCATGGCCATAGGCTCTTGCTCAAATGTTCTTTCATTAAATTCTTCTGTATCTGCCAATTCCTTTACTAAATCAAAATTATTTTTAATAACTGCAGGGGGAGAAAGTTTTACATTGCCAGATGATATCACAGATGATATGTTGACTGAAGGAGAAGAATTAGGTTTAGAGGACGAAGACTTACTTGAAGAACAACTGGAAGAAAGTTCCACCTCCTTTCATGATGATAATTTTGAAAGCACTGAAGGTATTTCTGGTTTTCCTTTTTTTAATAAATTTTTTTATTTCAATTGTGATTTTAACAGAAATTGACAAAAAAAATTAGATTTTCATTCACACACTGTTGCACATTTTTACCCCCTTTCTCTCCCTATACACTCCCCTAGTTCACTTTTTAAAAAAAATATTTTTATTAGTTTGCTTACAAAGTTTGGTAAACATTGCATTTCACACTATTCTTCATTAACACTGTGTTTCATACAATCATTGTCATGCATCAGGTTTCATAAAATTAATCACCATTGGACCCTGCCCATCATTACCTTGCCTTTTCACCTGGATCCTTCCCCTTTCTTTGCACCCCCTGCCTCCACCCACCAAACTGTGAAACCAGGGTTATTGTTGGTTTTCTATTTGTAATTGTCGCTGTTTTAAAGATGAATTGCCAAGTTCTTCCTGTGAGAAATTACACGTTCACTCAAAGACATAGTTGAAGGATGTAGAGCTGCATTAGAGATACTAAAAATAAGAACATTGCATTCTGGTGTTGTGTCTTGGGACCGCTAGAGTTACAGATCCCAAACCTGATGGTCACGTACACAAGCCTCATACTCGGTCTTCTGGGGAATGAACGGCCTAAGATTGTTCTACAGCAGTTTAATGAGAGTGACTCTCCCTTTGATTATGAGTTGTTCTTTCAGATTCTGCTGAAAACATGACTAGAGTTCCACCTTTGGCCCTGACAGACACAGGCATATTAGCTCTTCTTTTCATGCTTATTGGTGGGTGGAATTACATGTCTAGGCTATTAATGTTCCCACTGATAGAGTATTTCATGCTGCATACTTCTGTCTTTGGGAAATACAACTTCAGGTCTCATCAGAGGCTCTTCTTAGTTAACCTGTTTTCACTTTTTCAGAATCTTTGTATGAAGAAGTTGCAACCTCAGCTGCAAAAGAGACAGAGGACGAAGTTAAGAGGAAATTATCAGATCAGTTCTACTACAATTATGATGAGCTTGCTTCGAAGCCTTATGTGACTCCAAATTCAAGCATACCACTGAATCTCCTCAGTCTTGTGTATCCATTTCAGTTCCATATGTACAGTTTGGTGATTTTGGCTCCTTAGGTCGGAAGTTGGCAAACTACAGCCTATGGACAAAATATGGCCCTCTACTTGAATTTGTCAACAAAGTTTAATTGGGACACAGCTGTACTAATTTATTTACATTGTGTCTGTGGCTACGATGACAGAGGAGCAGAGTTAAGGAGTCACAGTAGAGCTCATCAGGCTCACAAAACTGAAAATTTTTACATTCTTTATATAGAAAAAGCTTGGCGACCCTCGTCTTACGTTTAAGAACTTTAGCCCTTATGGAACTCTAGGTAGAAATTCATTGATCTTCATTTAAATTGAACTTTTATTTCATGCCAGATAACCCCAGAAAGAAGTGATGTTTTGAGGCTTTTCTTTGCACAGATGGAGAAGGCTCAAAGCACATCATGTGAAGGTGACTAGACGTGTCCCTGATCCCCACTTATCTCCTCTGCTTGCCTGACTTGCCTATGACAATGTCTAGCAGGTTAAAAATGACCATGTCTGCTTGTGAGACACAAATGTGGCCATTGTTAGGCATACGTGGTCTCACTTTTAATTATTTATCAAATAAAATATCATTATCAAGACCCTGAGAAAGTGGAAGCTGGGGAGAGGTCTGAAGAATAAGTAAGGGATGAAAGACAAAGAGATTCAATGTTTGCCATCATCTTACAGTGTTACATTTGAAAGGTGTGTAGTTTGAAGGCGATTTCCATTAAGGATGTTAGCTGGAGCTGGGTTGTTAGTAGGCCCACCCTCCATGGGGGTAATTGTTACCTCTGTGTCTTTTAAAAGTGTGCTTATACACACGGAGAGACAAGAGAGACCTTCAGTTTTGCTTTTTACAATAAAATAAAGCATTTTGTTACTATAGGGGTCAAAGTATCTGTTAAGAATTTATTATAATCAGTAAGACTATGATATCATGAAGGAACCTCTGGTGGAGTGTAGTCTGTAAGGAGTTACACTCTGACCCAAGGTGGCACCTCTCTGGCAGTTTGAATCCATGAGAGAAAGATGGACAGTCTCTTCATGTATGGTTTACAGCATTCGCAAACCCACTGAAGGGTCAGCTAGGAACTGGTTCCTACTTAAAGGCAATGAGTAAGTAAAAATACTATGAATGTTATCTTTAGACAGTATATGCACTTGAATAACACTTAATAAAAATAGGTCTAAGTCAGTGGCTTTCTCACTGATTTTCATGGTTATAATTATTCTCTATTTCAATTGCAGATGTGACTGAAACTAGTTCATACTGGATTTTGTATCCTAGCATTTCTTTTTTCATACTTTCTCCCCCCTCCCCCTTTCTGTGTTTTTGGATCCCTTTCTGGCAGAATTTATACTGTTATGTTAAGTTTTTATAGGCTATCTTTTTCGAATGGGATAGTGGTTGTATATGAGACACTTGGAAGTATCTCTAAAATACATGTGCTCTGACATATTCCTGAACCCACTGTCATTTCTGTGCAGCAAGGGTTTGGGCATCTGTACTCTGACAAAGCTTCCTTGGTGCTTTTGAATGTCTCTCCTTCCCTCTTCGCCAACACCAATAACTCACTCCTCCAGGATATTAAAACTCAACAAACAACTCACTGACATTTTGTAGAACCAACTCATCACTTCACTGTATTTGCAGAGGCTGTAAGTAGCACAGGAGGAGATTGTCCTTATTTCTTCCATGAACCTAGCTCTGCCTGGTGGACTAGAACTGCTTTCCTTTTGGGTTATCAGTGTAACTCCTACTAGGACACCAGAGGGTCTCAGAACTATGGTGACATGCATGCCTGGATTCTAAAGAATCACATCTGACCTTGACTTGTGACTTGACACCTGAATTTCCTCTACTTAGGCTGGATGAGTGGCTGTATTCTGCAGCTTTTCCTTGAACACTTTTAATACCAGGAAAATCATAAAGGAGGCTATCCCAGTTTTGGACAGCTTAAATTATTAGACAGTCCTACAAGCTTTGAATAGAAATCTTCCTATCTCAAAACTGCTACATTGGACTTGACTGTGCTCTCTGGAGACGGAGAAATACAATTGCTTGCTCCTGTGAGACTCTCTGAGATGTAGAAGTCAGTTGTTGTACATCCTCTAAGTGCTTTCTTTCTCCAGGGTCAATAATAAACACCCTTTGTTATTTCTGCTGATCTTTTATGTCATGATTTTCCAGCCTTCTCTGTCAGTTCACTTGTCTTAGGGCAGTCTCCACTTTGTCGGAGATAAGTTCCCGGAACTGAACAGACTTGCAAGTGCAGCCAGACAAGTGGTCTCTTAAAAATTTGTAGTCATTCCATATGGTTTCAGTGTCTTTTTTCAAAACCTCTAGGTCTTGTTTATTTTTGAAGTAGACTTTTGGACACCCTTTGGCTAGCACCTTTTAAAATAGAAGAATAATGGTCTTTCATTATTTATAATATACAATCTTCTTTATTTTTGGGGAGCTCTGGTGGCTTAGTGATAAGGAGTTGTGCCATCAGTCCAAAGTCAGGTGGTTCAAATCCACCAGCTGCTCCTCAGGAGAAAGATGAGCAGGCTTCTCCCGTGCAATAATATAGCCTCGGAAAACTTGCTGAAAGGTCAGATACAAGTTGGTTCTGACTCAACAGCACATAACAACTGTTCACTTTTTAAATTTGCCACTTCTGAATAAACCTAGTTTACAAAAAAAGAATGCCATTTATGAAATAGCATTTAAAACAGAGCACAACCTGTAAAAAAACCCATTAAAGAGAGCACAACCTATAAAAACCATTAAACAGAGCTTAACAGAGTATTTAAACACATCTTTAAAATGGAGGCCAGGGATGAAGAAATGAATATTGAAGGCCCTGGGCTCCCTGACAGGAAATTAAAAGCAAGGCAGAGTGTGTGAGGTTAAATGGAAGGGTGTTGAAGGTACACTAAAGCTGCACTTTTTTTTAAGCACACATTTTAACATTGACGGCTATCCTCTGGGGTTAAGCAGGAAGGATCAGCAGATCATTATACACTGGCTAATTAAGAAGCATTTCTTCAGCACTTAATTAGAGTGATACAGAAATTGATAGGCATAAAGAAGCTGTCTCTGTTTTAAGTAGGCGTGGTTTAGGATAGAGTTTGAGTGGTCACCATTGCACCCATTTTGTTGGAAAGAGCTTTTGACCACAGCAGCAATATGTAAGAAGGAAATCTTCCACTACTCCTGAAATTAGAATAATATTAGATAAATCATACACATTCTGATTCCCAACTTCATCTTATTTTATGAACAGATGATAACCAATCAACTTCAACTGTTCATGTCTCACTATAGATAAACTCTTAGTTCAGTAAAGTTTATATTGGCCTGGAAAAAAGAGAAGGCAAAGGAGAGCAGTAGTTGGAAGAAGGAAAAACAATAATGTTAGGATCTTTAAAGATAAAGAGCTGTACATCAGTTTTTCATCTGTGCTGTTACTACATAGTCCCCTGATGTTCTCCATGAGGTCTAAATTGTTGTTGTTGGTATGTGCTGTCGAGTCGCTTGCAACTCATAGAGACACTACGTACAACAGCCCTAAACCCTGCTCTATCCTATGCCATTTGCACAGCCTGACACTCCCATCCTGGTTACTCCAGTCACTGAATCAACCCACCTCATGGAGGGTCTTCCCCTTCTGCACTGTCCCTCCACCCTACCAAGCATGATGTCCCTCTCCAAGGACCCGTCCCTCCTGGCAACATGTCCAAAGTATGTCAGACGAAGCCCCAGACTCCTTGCCTCCAAGTAGTAGCCTGGTTTAACCCTCTCCAGGATGAATCTGTTTGTTTTCTTGGCAGTCCATG